CATAACTACGCATATGCATACACCCATGCATATACGTAGACATAGACATATTAACTATAACCATCGCGCGCGCTTCGCGCGCGCACAAGTTTTAGCTGGGCTTGGTAGGCTAACTCATGTAATATCATGTTGGTCGCTTCTTGCGTCCAGGGACTCCCTTGGAAGCCCTGCGCAAGCCTCGGAATCGTATAGAAGGGGAAGTGCGGAAACGCAGAAATCTTTAATTTCCTTCAAGTATTCAACGATTTTGGGAGGTGAGGGAGGTCTGAATTGTGGTCTTTTGTGCAAGAGTAGACCGGGGACCAAACCTGACAACAAACAACAAATGTGGGATTTCCATTTTTTTCCAGTTCCTCGGCGCTGTTCGGCGCTGTTTTCTGTTTGTGCCTCGCGGGTTTTGTTAGCCGGGCCCCTGAGGGGTGTGGGATCTTCCGGACCCACTTGGGGTTCTCGAGGCCTCCTGGAGGCCTGGAGAGCCGTCGGAAGTGAGTCTCGGGCTGCGCGGGAGCGTGTTGGGCCGTTCTTTACGTTCTGGGGGCTCCTTGGGGTCGTCTTGGGCTGTCCTTGGGCGTCTTGGGGGCCTCCTGGGAAGCGGGGAGGCGCGGTACTGGCCAGATGTCAGGGGATGTGTGGGACCTCCGAGTAGGAGTCCCACTTTCTGGGAAAAAAATATATGGGAATTCCCTTCTTCAAAATCCTCGATATTCCAAGGTTGGAAGCGGGAAAATGTGAGAAGGCGAAAAACATAAGGAAAACCATTGGAAATCAACGATGTTACCCTCTTTGCTCTGTCTCGGGACGGCTCTCGCAGCTCTCTTGGGCTGTTCTTGGAGCCTCGTCGGGGTCTTTTGGAGCCTCTCAGGGATCGGGGTGTTGGGGGGGGGCCTCTGGGAGGTCCTGGAGGCCTCTCGGAGGTCTCTGGAAGCCTCATGCTCCCGCTCTTGGGCCCATCTTGGGCCTGTTCTGGGGTGGTCTGGGGCTGCCCTGGGCGCCTCTTCGGCAGTCTTGGAGCCTTCTTGGCCCGTCTTGGGGCCGTCCTGAGGGTCTCTTGGGTGGTCTTGGGGCGGTCTTGGGCTGCTCTTCGGCGTTCTTGGAGCGTTGAAGCTCGAAAACGCGAGGTCAAAAACATAGGAAAAACCATTCAACATCAAGGATATTGGCTTCTTTGGGGCGTTCCGGGACTCCTCTTCGACCTCTCTTGGAGGCCACCTGGGAGCCTCGAGAGCCGTCGGAAGGCTGACTTGGGCTGCTTGGGAGCGTCTTGGACCATCCTTTCGCATTCTGGGGGCTCCTGGGAGGCGTCTTGGGCTCTCTTGGAGCGCTGTGGAGGCTCCCCAGAAAGGCCGGGGGAATGGTACCGGGAGCGTCCACGAGATGTCACGGGGAGGTGTGGGACCCGGGGCCGGGGTATATATGAATGTATATATATATATGCACATACATTCATATCTATATATATATATGTGTATATGTATACACATATGTATACATCTATACACATAGCCATAACATATACATTTACATGTAATGACAATTACACATATGCATATATTTATACACACACACACATATGCACATACAAACATACACATACGCATATGTTTACATATACCTATGCTTTTACATATATGTTTATATATGCATATATATATATATATATGTGCATGTATATAGATATCAACGAATGGATGAGAGTTCCCGACATTAATACATACAGCCAGGTCCAGCAGCTCATGCAGTAACCGTCGTCGCGTAGCAATTCTGGGCCAACCCTTGCGATGACGGCCTGAAGGGCCAAGCGCGCGGTGGCCATCCAGGGAGGTTACAGATGCCCAAGACGCGCTGATGGCTCCTCAACCCTCGGACCCTGGCGTGGCAGACGGGCCTGAGACGGGCAGACTCGTCGGCCTTCTTCGATGACTGGGCCCGCGCGCGCTGGGGATCGTGGGTGCCCTGATCCCTGATCGCCAGCCGAGCGCTCCGGCCCGGAGACGGGCCGAGGCAGCGGCGTGAGCCTGGGCCTCGGCGGCTTCACGATCGGCATCGCGCTGCTGTGGAGCCTCATCCGCGGGCTGCTGTCCCAGTAGGACTCCATCCAGGGGAAGTAGGATCAGGTGGAGGCGCTGCGGGGCCAGCTGGCCAGATCGCGGCTGGGTGGGGCGGAAGAGAGCAGAGCAGAGGCGCGGGCAAGAGATGGCGCCGCGCCCAGGCTCCCGCCACTACCTCCGCCCCTCAGCCCCCCGCCAAGAGTGGCCGCTCCTATACTGCGGCGAGCGCGCCGGCGGCGGCAGTGGACCTGGCCATGGACGCGTTCCACTCGTTCGGGCTCGGCGCGCAAGACGCTGGCCGGTTTATCTGCACAGGGGCCCCGCCACAGGCAGGCGGCCCTGCAGCATGGCAGCATGGCCCGTGTGCTCGACTGGTCCTGGCGGGCCTGGGCTCCCGGCGTCCACGTCCGCCGCGGCCTGCGCCTCCCAGCTGAAGGAGATGCCCGCGACGCTGCATGCTGGAGCGGGGTCCAACCCCTGGGGGGGAGCAGGTCTGGCTGGCGGTGGCGGCCATGGAGCAAGCAGGACGCCTGGACCCGTCGGTCCGCGCGGCCCTAGAGGCCAGAGGCTACGTCGTATCTGGCACGCTGTCGCCCTCAGATCCCAAGATGCTGGAGACGATGCTGACTGGGTTCGAGAGCCTCGGCGTGACCAGCGGCTTCGAGGGAAGCTTCGGTGGCCCAGCGGCCGCTGCTGGAGGCGCCGAGGTGGACGCGTGGGGCAATGCGCTCGCGCCCGACTTCAAGCGTTTTGGAATGGAGATCTACAGGAAAATACGAGCGGCTGTCAGCACGAGTGTGAGGCACTGGTTGCAGCAGCAGTTTCAGGGCTACCAGGGAGGAGATCAGTGGCAAGGGCTGTGGTCAGTAGCCTCGACTCTCGACTTCGAGCTTGAACGGTGATCCAACGACCAGGAGCTCATGCTGTGCCTGACGACGAATGACAGAGTGGAGATATCGCTCAGGCACCTCTCAGCGTGCGTGTACGAATCGAGGACTCACGACAAGGTGGGAACCGCGAGGCTTTGGGCGGCCACGGCCCCGGGAAGCGGACTGCACATCGCCCCGAACTGGCTCATCACGGAGGCGACCACCCACAGCAAAAACTGAAAGAGTCTCAGCCGAACTTCGCCGCCGATCAGCGAATAAGGAAGCAAAAGAGACAAAGGAGGTGGTCGCGATCGAGGTCCCAAGAAGGGAGGGGAGGCTGCGTGACAGCTGCTTCCTCCCTCCTGCCTTCAGCCGCGGGGCAGGGTGGCTCATGACGCCCAGCGTGGGCAGCGTTAGTACCAGGTGACGGATCGATGGCGAGTGAAAGTTGAGAAGCCGAATGATGAGAAAATGAAAGGATCACATGTTGTGGTCCCCTCGCTCTCGGATGTGGCCTCCGCTGTACACAATGGTCAAGCAATGGTGCCTGCTTCTCTTCCTACCCGGCCAGGTCGAGTGGGAGCTCGTTCAGGCCGCCTGCGACAGCGACTCCGTAGGAAGCAGGAGGTACGAGAGGTGGCTAATCGAGTCTTGGGGGCACTGAGTCCGACCTACTCAGGATCTATGAAGCGCCAGACCGCACTATGGCAGCAGAAGTTGCGTAACGAATTCAACGAAGGATTCTGCTGTCGGGCAGGTCCAGCGGCGGGCGATCCAGCACGCCAGGGACCAGCTCTACGTTCGCCAGCTGCATCCAGCGACAGGCGTACGATTGACGTGCGAGCTGCTGAAGATGGATCAGATAGGCTACGGAAGAGTGCACAAGAGTGATGTCCACACAGAGTTATCGGTCAGGGGGTGGACGAAATGACGACGACGACGACGAGGATGGTTCCCTTGCTGGATGCTCTTACCCACTATGAGGCGCTGCACTACTGAAGGAAGGATAACGTCATCGAGCTGCGCGGGAAGACCAGTCAGCACGTGGAGGAGCTCGAGAGGCAGTTCGGGTTCTTCGGGGGCCAGATGGAGCAGTGGATCGAGTATCTCCATCGCGATGAACGTCCCCCTGGGTTGTGGGTTTTCGAGGAGAGGAGCGAGGCCAAGACGATCAAAGGGGTCTCGGCGGTGTTGAAGCAGAGTTGCTACAAGTTGCAGAAGTTCATACTGGCGGTGTCAACCAACTACCTCTGGAGCGATATACGACATACTGAATGGCATTATCACAGCGACGATGTCGGAATAGGCGACAAAGAATTATCGCTAAGTTGTCTGGTGTACCTTCCTGCCCTTCCGCCTGTATGCCTAACATCAAGGACTAAGGACATAGCGCAAAGCGCCATTGCAGACTTGCATGTGTATAGTTATGGTATGTGTATATACTGATAGCTGTGTATATATATATATATATACACATATATGCACACATTACAAATCCATTATGTACAGGTGTGCTTGAAAATATGTATGAAGAAACCGTAATCGTGATTCGTAAGCATCGTGGTCCGACCCCACGAGTTGTTGTTATGTCTGGTGGCGGTCGCTACTCGGGGGGAGGGTAAAGGCCCTGGGTAAGGGTAACGCTTGGGGAGGGTGGGGCACGTCGGGGCGGGGGGTGCGCTGCGATCGCCATAGTATGCGCGCGATCACCACTGGGGAGGTCGAAGTCCCCACGCCCCCCCGTAGGATCGTTACCGAAGCGCGGAGGGGCTGGCCCGGGTAACGACCGTTATAGGTGGCGGCATCCATACCCTACCCCACCAACCATCGATTCTCCTAAATCGATGTGAGGTTGGGATAGGGCTCGGATTTCGCGACGTGCACAAAACTCCCAACCCTGCCCCCGCCGCCCGTCGACTTCCGTGAAACGTGGATCGGCGAGGGGAGCGTTCGGGTTTCGCGGCCGAAGTTACGCGCCGGAGGATCAACACATCTACTCCGACCCCGTCTGGGAGGCTTGGAGTATAAGAAAGAAACGATGCACATACACCGATCCTGAACAGGGGCCCAGGATCGGTGCACACGCCCACCTGGCTCGCCCAGGGAGGCAGATTCACCGATCATGGGCCCATGATGGGCCTGGCCAGGATCTGTGCATGCGAGAAGTTCTCGTCGCCCGATGGAGACTGCCCACTGCTCCCGCGCCACCGAGGATCGCGAGGCGGGCCGCAAGCGCCACCCGCGGCGGAGCGCCGGCCGCTGGAGTGACCGCGGCGGCCCCCTCGGCCACGCCAGGCTGCCCGGCGGCGGCCCAGGACGCGGCGCGCATGCGGCGGGAGAGCTCGTCCACCTCTCTGGTGATCACGAGCGGCGAACATACCAGGGGAACAAACAATGGCATGAACACGAGAACTCGGAGGTCCGCGCAGATTTCTCGGATCGGCGCTGGAGCCCCCCGGCGGCCCCTTCAACGCACTCGTGGCGCGCTGCGCGTGCGAGGCAGGGGGGTCCAGCGACGATGCGATAAATCCGCGCGGACCTTCGAGTTGTTATGCAGCTGTAACTACTTGTTCCCTATCACGAGCGGCGAACATGTGGCAAGTTCGGCTCCACATACCGCGGGGATCGTTCTGCCTTGAACGCTCGGCGCTTTCCGAAAGGTCAGATCGTTCAACATCGACCGATTCTAGGTCGCCAGCGGCGTTCCACGTTGAACGCTGCTGGCAGAGTCGCGTCGCGAGAACATCACGACGGGGAATATTTTGCAAATTTTCGGCGTCTGGGGGCCCTAGCCGGGCCCATGGAGCGTCGAAAAACGAGTCGGGAGGAGAACCTGGCACTGGGGAACGGGTCGAGACCTCCGGGGGTCCGCGTTGTGAGAAAATCGAGACGTCGGGGGTCTGGGACAAGAGCCACCCTGAAAGTACGACCACGAGGAGGAGGACAAGAGGAAGAGGATTGGATTGGAGTCGGATCCGACGCTGGACTCGACACTGGAACGAACTGGAGAGCGATTGACCTCCAGTATCTTGGCGACGCCACCAGCGAGGACAGGGTGAGGCTAAGAGGAATGGCCTCTGGATCCCCTTGCCATCGCTCATACGTCCATTTCCCGTGCCTTTCTCGATCTCGTGCGTGCCGTTCTTTTACCAGATGATCCAGGATGCTCCTCGATGGCCCTCGCCGGGAAAAAAATGCACACGTCCGAGCGATGCCAAGTCCCTCGGGGTCGGTGCCCGCTGATGGGGCAGGGATGGAGGGGACTGGGGAGGAAGCATGAGGAGGAGGGGGCGGGGGCAGCGCAGCGATGAAGCACTCATGCCCCCAGCAGCGGAGGAGGAGGATCCCGAGGCTGCTATGGGGCGTGGAGGGAGGAAGACGAAGCCGGGACGAGGATAAAATCGGGTGAGGCTAAAATCGAGAATCTCTGAGATCCGGCGGCTCTGCAGGATGTATCGAGCGCCGCGGCCTCCTCAGAGCGTCCCGGAACCCTCCGAGAGCGTTCCGGAACGCTCTGGCACGGCTTGGCCCTCGCCGTGCAGCCCCGTCCTGCAGGGGCGGGGTCCTCCTCCCCCCGGCGGCCGAGACCAGGCCCGCCGCCAGCGGAGCGGTCGCTCTGCTGCCCCCGCCCCCCCGTCCTCCAGGGGGGAGGAGGGGCAACGTCAGAAGGGGGACCGGCTCCGGGGGAGGGGGGCGGAAGCACTGGGCGATTGGGGCTCGGTGCCCTCTCCCCTGAGCCCATCCCCCCGTGGCATTGCCGCTGAGGCAAGGAGGAGCAGCTTGGCCCACAGCCGTCGTGCTACCACGAAGAGCGCTGAGCATCAGGACCGGATGGGGCTCTTCTTGCCGCGGCTGGCCTCGGCCAAGGACGGGCTAACCCGCTAACCAGAGCCCATCCCTGAGCCCAATGTGGTCCTCACTTCTGCGCCTTGGCAGTAAGCACCCCTGCAGGCGGGGCCCTTTAATGAACGCACCTGTAAGATGGGGATCGAACAGGGCCAAGCTGTTCAGTAATCGCCCCAGGGATGATCGATAAACGCCCGTCATGAGGGTCGAGATGGTTTTTCCTCTCCTGCTTTCGGCCAGCGATCGAAAACTTCGAGGATCGGGGATCGAGGCTTCTGGACCCCTTCGCCCATAACGGGTCTCGAAGAGCCGTCTCATCACCGCCAAGACAAGCACAACTCAAATCCAGGCGATGCAGAAGAAATCGCGACGGCGAGCGCTTGCACGTGAAAAGCTGGCCCTCGGGAAGGGTCGAGGTCCCCAGGGGCCCGGGCCATGAACAAAAAGCGACGTCGGAGGAGAGGGACGTCGAGGATCGGGGATCGAGGCTTCTGGACCCTCTTCGCCGCTCCAGCTGAATCTCGAGGAGCCTTGTCATCGCAGCCACGGCTGGAATCGCCTCGAAATTCTGACCAACGCACCCCAGGACAGGGCTGGGGGGGGTTGCTGAAGACGTCGCACGAGGACGTCATCGGAGACGACGTCGTTGTGGACGCCGCCGTTTCGGGGGCTCTCGAGCGTTTCTGGAGACCGTCGTGGCCACGACTGGGCGGCGCTCGCAAAACTGGCCAGTGGGGGCCACCAGAGGGGGCCCAGGGGCCCATGTTGAGTGGGTGCTCGTCGCGGGTGGGGCGAGGGAGGCGGTCCTTCGAAGGCAGGCAAGAAGCTTCTTAGAAGCCTTCTCGCCTTCTGAGAGGCCTTCTCGGAGACCTTCGACCCCCTCTGCTGGTCATCGCTGGGACGTCCATTCCTCGTGCCTTTGTCGGTTTCGGGCGCATATCTTTCCGAACATGATCCAACATGCTCCTCAATGACCCTCGCCGAGGCGAAATAAACGCACACGCCCGAGCGATGCCAAGCCTGAGGAGCCACTTGCCTTCTGAGACGGCCTCCCCCGTAGGGCCACCCCTTTCTGCTGGAGGCCTGCCTCTGGAGGTGGGGCCAGAACAGCCCTGTGTCGGAGCACTGCGGATAAACAAAAAAGGGCTTCAAATCGCGCAGCATCGCGGACGCAACAGCGATTCGGCGCGATCCTCTGGCCCCATCTGCTCTGGCCCAATACTTCCAGAGCCCCGACGCCATGACTTTCACCACATGGCGGCGACGCGGGTTGAGACAGCGGCAGCTCAAAGTCGGTCCCCGACCCCCTCACGCTGTCCAAACGCGCAAGTCTCCCGAGCTGTGTCCAGCCGCGGGTGCGAGGGGGCCCCGAAGGCCAGCTACCGTTGCCTCAACTCGCCTTCCTCGGAGAATGGGAGGCCCAGCCATGCGCGCCGCCGAACCTTCCCGCGCAGGTGCCTCATGCGCTGGCCGCTCTGCTCCTCGAGTTTCATCACGTCCTCGACCTCCAGCTTGGCCTGCGCAAGCGAGCTCTCAGACGCCAGGCGGAGCGCCCGGTCGACCTCTGCGAGGGAGAACGCTCAAGTCATCGTGATACCATAAGGAGCGCTGGGCTCCACCACCATGCCTCTGGGCACGGAGCGGCTGTGTCCTCAGGTCCTTTGCCTATAATCCCCGGAGCCTCAATTCTCACGCCTGAGGAATCCCTGAGGGGCCCGGAGCCCAAATTCCGACATGTCTTTGGGCTTGTCGCGTGCCACCCCTGGGACTTCCCGCGTGCCCCTTGGGAATTGGGAAAAGGTGGCGCGTGAATTGTTCGGGCCCGAAACGGCCCCAAGACGGGCCAAGAGGGCCCCAAGAGGCTCCGAAAACGGGTCAAGAGGGTCCTGAGTCGCGGAAAGATCGGCCTAAGACGCCCAAGATGGCGTCCAAGACGCTCCAAGAGGCCTCCAAGAGACCTCCCGAGAGGGCCCCAAGAGGCAACCGTCGGGGACTTTCCTGAGGTATTTGAAGGAGTTAGACGTTCTCAACTTTTCGGCTTTCCGACGCTCCAAGATCGCACAAGGGGCCCCCAAGACCACCCCAAAACGGCCCGAGAAGCCTCCAAGAAAGCACCAAGACGGTTGCCCCAAGACGGCTTAAGATCGCCCCAAGACGGCCTAGGATCGCCCCAGGACGGCCCAAGAGGGCTCCAGGACGGCCCAAGAGGGCCCCAGGACGGCCCAAGAGGGCCCCAAGACGGCCCCAAGAGGCGCCCCAGGGAGGGTACACGAATCGAAACTCCAAGACTTCCGCCCCGAGAGGCCCCCGGGAGGCCCCAAGGGGCCCCAAGAGGCCCCAAAGAAACCCAAAAGAGGCCACCAAAAAGGCCCAAAAGAGGCCCCCAAGAGGCCCAAAAGAGGCCCCACAACGGCCCCAAAGAGGTCCCAAAGCTGCCTCCAGGAGGCCCCCGAGAGGCCCCCCACGAGATCCCAACGAACATCCAATATAGGCTTCATACCCACAACCCAGGCACGGTGGCGGGATGGGCCCAAGGCCCTTGGCCATCAAACAAGGGCCTGGAACGAAAAGGCTGCTCCAGCCACAGCGAGCCTCGGCCACGAAGAGGGCCCGCCGGTCCAGACCTGAGGTACGGCTCGGGGGGGAGACCCAGGCCTCCGACCACATGGCGTTTTCGGCGCCGGGGGCCCGCTGGCGAGCTCCGGGGCCACCAAGCTCGGAGCTGGGGCGAAACGCAGTGGACCCGGAGGCAGGGGTCGGGACCCTTGGGGCCGCGCGTTGAAAAACGATTCCAGCGGTAGGACCCCGCATGAGAATCCTCCGCAGTGGCTTCGAACTTCGAAGTAACTAACCCTCATCGTCGTCCTCGTGATAATGAAAGCTTTCTTCCTGTCTCCCCCTCGCCCTGTCCTTCTCGCTCTGGCAGAGGCCTTCCTCCCGCTCGCCGCTCGGCCGCCTCCAACTCTTCCTCCTCCTCATCCTCTTCGTCCCCCTTCCTCCCCCTGTTCTCCTGATGATCCTCCTCCTCCTCCTCCTGCCTCTTTTCCTCGCGCACCTTCTCCCCCGCCCCCCTTGCACGGGGGCGCATGCCGGTGTTCTTCGGCGCCGTCGCCGCCGCGGCAGGCTGGGGAGCGTCCACCGACAACCAGATCGCGAAGCCGTTGGGGCAATCCCACGGGCCGATCATTGAGACAATGCCCGCGGGCCGCTAGGGTGCTGGATCAAGCCGTCAGGACAAGCCTGGAGACCCAAGCGGACGACAGTTAAAGGATTTGGATGACCCGCTCGGATTGCTAACATGATCTGGCGGCCCCAGAGGGTGGGGGCTCCCGCCTGAGACTTCCCCACAATCGACTCACATGCGAAGCTCCCGCTGGAGACTCCCTCCAGATCCACGCCTCAGGAGCTCCAGAGGTGACAACAACTCGCCCTGGGGAAGGGGTCTGGACCATCGACCTGGGATCGGCGATACATCACCGATGGAACGGCGATAGGCCCTCGATAGCAGAACCGCCTGGACGGGGTGGGCTATCGGGCCCCTGTCAGCGATCAATGGGCGGTCGGGGGTCGATGCATCCACCCCCGAGCCCATCCCCGTTCCCGCTGTTTTCTGGCCAGAATTCGGCCATCTGGCGGCCGCTCGGGACGATCCAGGCAGCCCTCGGAACGCCCTCGGCGAGGCGCAGCCACTGGAACGCACCCCGAGGCTGCAAAGCCGCCGAGAACAAAGCGCCTGATAACCTCGAATCCCGAACATCGAACATCGAGCCCAGCGCCACCCCTATCGCTGCCCCTGACCCCTGACCTCTGGGGGCCCGAACACTTGAGCGTTCGAATCCTATCTATCGAGCGAAGAACGGTATAACATAAACTTGTCCCTCATCCGGGGGCGCCCGTCCCGGGGAATGCGAGAAATCTGATACACCCACGGCGGAACGCGGGGGCAGAACTCTCCCAGTCGCCCTGAAGTAGACGTCCCCAGCGGGAATAAACAACATGTTATAGTTGCAAGTCGGCCGTCACCAACCTGGATTCCGAGGTGAATCCAGCCTTTCGGAGAGGGCCCCCCTCAGGAGGCCCCGAGGAAAGGGCACCTTAACAGGTACCGTAGTACAGACATGTCGCTACGTACTCTAAGGAATGCAAGAGCTTTTCGGTCACGAACAGGTTCCTCTTCCTAGATCTACCTGGATGAACAGAAGGGCCCAGAAAACCAGAGCTCCTCTTGAACCCACAGTAGTCCTGATGTCAACTTCGTGATTACATCGTCGGCTGCACACAGTGATCCCATTGGTACGACGCTTCGCAGGAGCGCTGGCTGAGGCGTGCCAAAACCTCGACTCCGCAAGCTGATGCCGCCGCACCGCGGCTCAGCGATCGGGGCGGGCCCGCATCAGAGGCTGCCTCTGCGAAGGGCCACTCTTGGATCGGCGGCGAGCGAGGGGGGGAATGAGAAGGAGAAGGCCTTCTCAGAGGGCGGCGGGACTTCCCAGAAGTCTTCGCGCCTTCGGAGAAGACTTTCCTGCTTTCGATGAAGGCTCAGAAAGCTTCTCAGAAGGCCGGGAGACTTCCGAACCCTCTGAGAAGGCCTTCTCCTTCTCCCTTCCCCCCCCCCCCGCTCGCCGCCCATGGGAGGGCGCCATCTGCACACCTGCACCGATCCCGACCCTGGGCCCGGGATCGGTGCACACGCCCTCCTGGCCAGGAGGGCACATGCGCCGACCCTGGCCCCAGCATCGGCCCGGCCAGGATCGGTGAAGGTGTCTGGTCCGCGGCCTCCGGCCATGCGCAGCCGACCAGTACCGCCACCAGAGGAACAGGAACCCCCAGGATCATCGCACACACTCGGAGGCGGTCCGCGCGGATGCCTTGAGTCGGCGCTGGCACCTTCTCCCTGGCGCTGAGGCGCCGCCGACGGGGAAGGACCAAGCGCCGACCCAAGAAACCCTCGAGGACCTCCGAAAACTCATGTGTGTGCTGTATTCTCTCCTTCTAAGCACACCCTTCCCGGGGGAACGAAAAGGTTCCCATCCCGCTACTCCACGGGCTTCTCCAGGAGAGCGCTCTGACAAGAATTCCGGAGCGTATCCAGCCGTGGCGGCGAGGGCCTCCCATGAGGCCCTAAAAAAGAAGAAACAACTCCTCCTCCGGCTTCCCCTCCCAAGGCCTCCGCCGCCCTCTCCTCGATGAGCTCGCGGGCGCGCGCCCCGAACTCCTGTGCGAGGCAAGGATTTATACATGTCCACCGCCTGGGAAACTGACGCCATGGAACCCCATCGGGTGGTGGATCTTGACACGTTTGGGCCCATCTGGGAACGAGTATGTCCATATCCACCGCCGGTCGAGGTCACCGAAGATCCCCCAGGCGGTGTTTAAACGCGAAGGGTCTTTAAAACCCACCCCCACAGTGGAAACGAATCCCACCAGCCCTCTGGGCGGAGGTGGTTTAGAGAGCACGTTCTGTTCCACCCCCTTCTTCCCTATCGGGGAGGGAAGTTATAACTGTTCCTTATTCATATACACCCCCTCCCCCAGGCGACCGGGGGCCAACCAAGCACCATGCCGACACCATGCCGACACCATGACGACCCGCCCCCCACCATTCCTGTCAAGATACAATACAAACCGCATTTTGCCTCCACATTTGGAGCATGCGCTGCCAACCCGATGCGGCCCCCCCACACCATCCCATAAACAAAAACAATGCAAGGTACACTTTGAGGCAAAATCTTGAATCATGCTCGTGAGACCCGCGAGGAATTTGCATTGTTTTTGAGAAGGACGGCGGGGGTGCCAACATATTCCCTGCTCCGCGCAGGGCTACCATCCCTGATAAAACATACAACATGCACCTCGCGGCAAAATCTGGATCATGCGCGGCCGTCCCGCGATCACTGTCAAGTGGTTTTTGACATGGACGGCGAGGGTGGTGGCGCGTGGCCTGCTGCGCGCAGGCCCACCAGACACAATGATGGGCATCGGTTTTCGACAAGGATGGTAGGGGCCGACATATTTACCGATGTGTGGTTTTACGTGCGCAGGCGCACCTGACGCACTCTGCACGGGCTCCGGATGCGGCGCACCTGGCGCTGCTGGAGTGTGCGGCACACCTGGCGCACTCGGAGCACGTGGCGCATCTGGCGCACCAGGCGTGCCTGGCACGCTCGGGCCCCAGGGGTGCCTGGCGCGAGTGGCGCCCCTGGCGCGCGTGGCGCACCTCGCCCAAGCGTCGCGCACCTGGGGTCAGCTTTTGGTTCCGAGTAGCTGTCCATCCAAAGCCGACCGCTGAACATGCTCAGGCTCGGGTGTTACTTATGCGTAGGGAAGGCGGGTGGGAGTGAGCTAGACGGCGTGCGGGCGGGTGGGCAACTTGACCCCTCCCCCATACCCCATCCCCCTGGGCCTGGAGGGGGGCGCGGGTCGTTGGAACGTTTGTTTTGGCCTATGATGGCGCCAAGACACCCCAAGAGAGCTCAAGATTACCTCCAAGATCGCTCAAGATAACCGTCGATGACTCAAGATAGCTCCTAACAAGCCTACACGAGGCTACAAGACCGCCCCCAGACGGCCCCAAGTGGCCACGGAGCAGGTGTGTTTTGCCTTCTCGCCTTTTCCCTGTCAGTGGGCTCTTGAGGCTTGAAGATGAACCGAAGATTGCCCAAGAAAGCCCCAACACAGGCCCCAGAGAGGACCAAAACGAGCCCAAGAGCGCCCAAGAGCGCCCCAAGAGCGCCCAAGAGGGCCCCAAGAGCCGACTTCCCGGGTTCCGAATGGGGGGCCGTAGTTGACGCCGCGTTCCTTTTTGAGCCGTGGCCTCTAAGATGGTCTCCAGAGACCTGCCAGACCCCCCCAAAGAGCCCAAAAGGGCCCCACGACCCCCGAAAAGAGCCCCAAGGGTCCCCCCATAGGCACCACGAGGGCCCCCAAAGGGTCCAGAGACTTGCAACATAGCCCCCCGGAGCGACAAACCCAGAAACGCCTCAGGTGGGCGGAAGAGGAGGAGATATGCGAGAGCATGAGGAAACACGCCCGAAAATCACGACCGTCGGTGTACGTCGCAAAATGTGCTGTTTTGGGATGGGCCAGTGGGGATACTTTTGGAGCAGCGGCCCCGAAACTACGGTCAGGGGGCGGAGGCGACGCCCGGGCCACGGGCGAGGCTAATTTGCAAGACAATTCGCCGCCAGCCAGAATCGGCGGACAGACAGCTCGCACCTGGCGATGCACTGAACAAAATGACCAGAATTCGAGAGGCAGACTCACGGAGGCGCGGAAGCCCCAGCCACAGTGGCCAGGCCGCGGCGCCTGGTGAAGATGAGAATGCCCCGAAGTGAGTCGCCGATGCGGCGCCAGACTTCCGCGGCCGACCTGCGCAAGCCGAGCGGCTGAGCGGTCGAGACCAGAAAACAGTTCGCGACAGCTGGTAGGGGATGAAGGCTGTGCAAGATTGCAGGCTGAACCACTCAGCGCCCAGTCCTCAGTGATCCGCATCGCAGCGTCGGGGGGGGAGCCGAGCGACTGTGACCCTAAGCGCGACTGCACGGCGCCGCCTATGAAGAAAGGAACTCCGCTGGCGTGGGGAGCATCGCCGACGGATGAAAAAAAAGGGCGGGGGGCGGCGCGCGCGGTGGTGGCGTCGGCTGCGCTGCATTCCTGGGGGGGCCCGCCGCCGTGAAGCTGAGGCGGCCAGCCGCGCCCAGACCGTCGCATTGCGCTTCCCCTGGGCCCTAGCGCCAACGCGCACCACGTGCCCCTCCTGGGCCGTGATCACCGTCGCTGAGGGCGCTGAGCAGGACCACGAGCAGCACGGACCACGGCCGGAACAGGGAGGGGGGGGCCTCAGCACCGACGCAAGTGCAGCGTCAGGCGAGCCCCAGGGCCACGGGCGGGGGGCGCCCACCGGGCCCGGGAGGGGAGAGGCGAGGGGGCGCAACGCCTCACCCCACGGCCAGGCTCCCTGCCGCCGTGGGCCAGGGGCCGTGGCCCTCCCCTTGGCTCGTCCTGGGGGTCGCAGCTGATCGCCGCTAGAACTTGCATTGAATAACTAGGGGGTCGCAGCTGATCGCCGCTAGGAGCTCTTTTACGCATCGTGGGGGTCGCAGCTGATCGCCGCTGCGGTCTCCGCTGAATGCGCGCGAACGGGTGAAGGCCCACTGGGGCCGCAGCCGACGCAGAGGATGTGAGCCTGCAGAGAGGTGCGTCCCAGAAGGTGGGTCCTCGGGGGTCGCAGCTGCTCGCCGCTGGAGCCGATGCTGCCAAAACTGCGGCCTGAAACACAGGCCGATGCGCTGGCGCACAGGGGGTTTGCTTCCGCCGTCGCCCCCCCGTCACCGATGGATGGGCGGCTGTCGCCGTTGGACAGCAAAGTGGGCGCTCCTGGGACCTGTCAGTCCAGCGGGCTGGCCCCCCGTTGAGCAGGGGGGGTGAAATTTCAAGGATGGGCCCGCGCATCCAGGGTGGGCTGTCTAGCTATGCTGCGCCTTGGGCGAGATGCGGGGCGACCTCCGCGCCAGCGGACACTGCCCCAAGGCATTGCGGCCAAAGCCGGGCGCTGCGAGGTGAAACAGGCCCCGAAGGGGGGTAGCAGGTGGTGGGGGAGGCGGAGCACGTTGGCCAAGAGTCACGGGGGTGCTGTGACGGGTTGGCCTGGCACAGTTAGCCCTGGGCGTAGGAGCCCCCCCCTTGCCCACCATCGGGCGCGCTTGTCCGTGCACCGGTCACCCCCCCCTGCTTTGATGGGTGCGGATTCTATAAAACACTATATATAGCTATTGTGCACTATAAGACCCTGTCAACATGCACTGAAAAAGAAAATTAATAAACAATTTTTTTTTTTTAAAAAAAAAAAAGAAAACAATAGTGTTAAATAGTGAAATAATAAAAAAAGGAAAAATAATGAAAACATAAAACAATAATGGAAATGAAAAAATTGCCAATTCTAAAAAATACTAACAAGCTTGCTTCTCCCCCTTTCTCTCCTGACTTTCCGCAGCGGCAGGCCGCTTTTACATTGCAAGTTCTACAGTGCAGCGGTTTGGCCGCTTCAGAACTTTCGTTTTTAATCGCGCCCAGAACGCTGCGCTCCAACGGGGGGGGGGGGGTAAAGGAGAAGGAGGAGGGGGGGCAAATGCGTTCGAATCCCTGGATGGCAACCTCCGATGGCCTCGTGCGCCCCATGTCGCGCTCGTACTGGGCCCGCGCAAGGCGTCGCTGCAGCTCTTGAGGCGACAGTGGCAGCGGCAAAACTGAAGGGAACCAAGAAGCTGAAGGGGCAAAGCGGTCGCACCGCTCCTCCTCCTCCTCCTCCTCCTTCGTTCCTCCTCCTCCTCTTCCTCTTCGCCCTCCTTTAGGATAACCTGCAAAACGGTCATTCCCGGAATCTGGATTTAACAGGCAAAGCGGGCGCGCCGCTTTTCCTCTTCCTCCTGCCCCTCCTCCCCCTCGTCCTCCTCGCCCTCCTCCTCCTCCTGCTCCTCCTCTTTTTCCTCCCCCTCCTCCTCCTCCCCCCCCTCCTCCTCCCCCTCCTCTTGGATGGCCTCGCAAAGCGATCGCGCGCGAAGGATCGGGGCATGAGGGGCAAAGCGGACGCACCGCTCTTCCTCCTCGTCCTCCTCCTCGTCCTCGCCCTCCTCAACCTCCTCGTCCTCCTCCTCCTCCTCTTCCTCCTCCTTCCTCCTCCTTCCTCCTCCACCTCCTCCTCCTCCTCCTCTCCTCCTCCTCCTCCTCCCCCCCCCCTCCTCTTCCCCCCCCCCCCCCGCCCCCCGCCCCCCCCCCCCCCCTGGATAGCCTCGCAAAGTGCAAAGCGGTCGCACCGCTCCGATTGTCTCTCTCCTCCCCCCCTCCTCCTCGCCCCCTTGTCTTCCCTTGGATAGCCTCGCGAAGCGGTCGCGCCGCTAAATCTCGACAGCGATTGCCGATTGCGCCTTTTTTTTTCGCAGGACACGCGCTGGCAAGTGCAATCGCGCCAGCGCTCGGCGCTTGCAGGCACTTCGGCGCCTGCGGGTACTTATGCCGCATCCACCAATAACAGCGTTCCAGAAGCCTCTTGTGTCCAGAGACACTGTGCCATGAAGGAGTCGCACTGCGCGAACTTCGGGGCGTCGTCCTTTCGCCACCGTGAGGCGCTGGGCAACACCTGGCAAATAAAATGCAACTCGTGAACAATCAACGCCACGTTGCCGCCTTCCTCGGCACCACCGAGGATAAAATTGCGCTTCT